GCGAGATCTCCCATGCTCACTGATTTGTAGAATCACATAGTAAAAATGTCTATACTCCCAAAAGCAATCTACATGTTTAATGCAATTCCCATCAAAATCCCAATGACATTCATCAAAGAGATTGAAAAATCTACCATTAAATTTATTTGGAAACACAAGAGACCATGAATAGCCAAGGCAATACTCAGTAAAAAGAACAATGCTGGAGGTATCACAATACCCAACTTCAAACTATATTACAAAGCAATAGCAATAAAAACAGCATAGTAATGAACAAAAACAGACACGAAGACCAGTGGAACAGAATAGAGGACCCAGATATGAAGCCACACAATTATAACCAACTTATCTTTGACAAAGGTGTTAAAACATACAATGGAGAAAAGACAGCCTCTTCAACAAAAACTGCTAGGAAAACTGGTTAGCAGTCTGCACAAAACTGAAACTAGATCCACACTTATCACCCTATACCAGTATTAACTCAAAATGGATATCAGATCCCAAACTCTAAAGTTGGTACAGGAAAGAGTAGGAAATAATTTGGAACTAAGAGGTATAGGCAAGGACTTTCTCAATGGAATCCCAGCAGCTCAGCAACTAAGAGATAGCATAGATAAATGGGACTTCATAAAACTAAGAAGGTTTTGCTCAACAAAAGAAATGGTCTCTAAACTGAAGAGACCACCCAGAGAGTGGGAGAAAATATTTGCCAGCTACACATCAAAGGACTGATAACCAGAATACATAGGGTAACTTAAAAAACTAAACTCTCCCAAAATTAAATGAACCAATAAAGAAATGGGCAATGAGACTAACAAACTTTCTCAAAAGAAGAAATTCAAATGGCCAAAAAACACATGAAAAAATGCTCACCATTTCTAGCCATAAAGGAAATGCAAATTAAAACCACACTAAGATTCCACCTCACCCGTTAGAATAGGCATCATTAGCAACACCACTAACAACAGGTGTTGGCGAGGATTCAGGGAAAAAGGAACCCTTTTTTTTTTTATTTTTATTGTTTTATTGTTCATATGTGCATACAATGCTTGGGTCATTTCTCCCCCCCCTGCCCCCACCCCTTCCCTTACCACCCATTCCGCCCTGTCCCTCTCCCCCCTTTACCTCCTCGCTACCAGGCAGAAACTATTTTGCCCTTATCTCTAATTTTGTTGAAGAAAGAGTATAAGCAACATCGCTGGATCATATGGGAAAAAATTTGGAGGCTTCTTAAAAATCTAAACATTGATCTACCATATGATCCAGCAATACAACTCTTGGGTATATACCCAAAAGACTGTGACACAGGTTACTCCAGAGGCACCTGCACACCCATGTGTTATTGCAGCACTATTCACAATAGCCAAGTTATGGAAACAACCAAGATGCTCCACTACTGACGAATGGATCAAGAAAATGTGGTATCTATACACAATGGAATTTTATGCAGCCATGAAGAAGAACGAAATGTTACCATTCGCTGGTAAATGGATGGAAGTGGAGAAAACAATTCTGAATACCAAAAATCGTATGTTTTCCCTCATATGCAGACATTAGATCAAGGGTAAACACAACAAGGGGACTGGACTTTGATCACATGATAAAGCGAGAGCACACAAGGGAGGGGTGAGGACAGGTAAGACACCCAAAAAACTAGATGGCATTTGTTGCCCTCAATGCAGAGAAACTAAAGCAGATACCTTAAAAGTGACAGAGGCCAATAGGAGAAGGAGATCAGGAACTAGAAAAAAGGTTAGTTCGAGAACAATTAATTTAGAATGTAACACATATGTACAGGAAAGCAATGCGAGTCAACTCCCTGTATAACTATCCTTATCTCAACTAGCAAAAACCCTTGCTCCTTCCTGTTATTGCTTATACTCTCTCTTCAACAAAATTAGAGATAAGGGCAAAATAGTTTCTGCCTGGTAGCAAGGAGGTAAGGTGGGGGGGAAGGGGGGAGAAATGACCCAAACATTGTATGCACATATGAATAAAAGAAATTAAAAAACAAAAAAGAAACTTAGGTGGGAGCTGGGCGCCAGTGGCTCACATTTATAATCCTAGCTACTTGGGAGGCTGAGATCTAGAGGATAGCAGTTCGAGGCCATCCCAAGCAAAGAGTTCGAGGCCATAATAACCAAAGCAAAATGAAGTGGAGGTGTGGCTCAAGCCATAGAGTGCTTTCTTTGCAAGCACAAAGTCCTGTGTTCCAACCCCCATCCCTGCAAAAAGAAAAAAGTATATGAAAGATTTAATCTCCATTGAAGGTATCAGGCCAAGTGCTTGTCATGGGAACTAAATCTGAATTTGCTCCCCTGAGAAGTCTGGAAGAGATCACACTTTCTTTCTTGGTGATCTCATTGATTTTTCATTTGTAGCCTTGACTGTATTGACACTTAGTAAAGATGCACAGTATTTAGTCTGTCTCTTAAGATCTTTAGAATCCTAAAAGGAAAGTAAACACATAAATGAAAAATGTTTATAATGCTGGAAGAGGGGATGAGGGAGAATGATGGAGGGGGTGAATCCAATTAAGACACATTGTAAGCACATATGTAAATGTCACAATGAAACCCCCCCATACAATTAACATAAGCTAATAAAAACATTTTTTAAAAAGTTTATAATCCCAAAACCTTAAGTCTAGATTTTACAATCATCCACCTACTAGAAGAGAGCAGTTAGTTGAATAAAGCCAATATATAACTCTAAAATAAATTATGGTTACTTAAGGAACATATGCTACCAGTCTCCATTTTTGTTTGTGCTACACGGAAGATTTTACACAAAATTAAAAGGAGGTGTATAGCCTTGGTCTCAGAAAACTGATTGAATACACCAAAAACACAGTAAAGGAATCTGTCACTTGTCAGGGAAGGAAGAGTCAGGAACTCACTCCCCAACCTTCATTTTATAGTGACAAGATTACTATAATGATTCAATCACTTGAAAACAAATGGAGCTGTGGAATATATCAAGAGCAATTCTATTAGATGTGAATTTAGGAGGTGTGCTTTTTAGTGTCTGTGAGAATTTTTCCTTAATTGTTTTCAATCCCTCCCTGTGAGCTTTCCATATACATATACATTTGTATAAGATTTTGGAAAGAGGGGCTGGGGGAGTAGCTCCGGGGTAGAGTACTGCATGCACGAGTTCCTGGGTTCAATACCCACCGCCTCAACAAAACAAAGAAAACTGGAGAGCGGTCCCAATGGGAATGGGGCCCTTATGTGGGGCGGGAGATGGAAGATACTTTTCCTGTAGAGTACAGGTGTCTTCGTCATAGGAAAACGTTTCTTAGATATATTAATTTGGGGCACCTTTTCATAACACTTGATGATCTTGGTCCACATCACCCTCGCATAGCAGTAGCTGCTGGCATGAGTGAATCTGTACAATTGAATGGCTCCAAAGCGGTGTCCTGAGAGCATCTGGCAATCATTATCAGATGGTTTGGGGCTGGAAGGAATGTCTCAAATGATAGAGAGCCTGCCTAGCAAGCTCAAAGCAGTGAGTTCAAACCCCGAAACAGCAAAAAAAAAAAAGCGTCGGTTTGCTGTTTGATCCCTGGATGTACCGATGAATAAACGAACAATTTGAATGAGAACCATGTTCACAGGCCACCGAAGGAAAGTGAGGGATCCGCCCCCGGGGAAAAGGGGAATCCCAGGCAGGCGTTGAGGAAGGAGAGCCCGGGAAGTGAGGCGCCCCGCGCCCGGGGAAGCGGGGACGCCCAGGAGAGTGGGGAGCGTAGGGGGCCGCTCACCTTCACGCGCTCGTAGTAGCTCCCGGAGGGCAGCAGAGCGACGCCCTTGAACTCCGACTCGTAGTTGTGCAGCCTCCGCAGCAGGTGGCCCACGACCCTGTTCACTACCTCGGCGGCCGCTGAGATTTCCTGGCGTTTTAGCCTCAACTTCTCGAGCACTGACCGGAGCTTCCAGCCTCCTGGCGGCGCCTCGCTGAGGCCGAGACTCGGGGTCTGCTCCCACGCGCCCCGGCCCGACCCCTCCTTGGGCGCCGGCGGGGGTCTCGGTTCTCGAGTGGCAGCCCCTCCTCCTTGGCGACGGGATCCTGCCCTGGCGGGGGGCGGCCCGGGTACGGCGCGGGGCTCTGGCTCTTCTGCGGGTGCCGCCCGCGCCCGGACTCCCGCCGCGCGGGGCGCGCTCGAGGGCTGCGCATCCTCGGGGCGCAGAGCTGCCTTCTTCTGCCGGCCGCTCGGCGCGCGCTCCGGGCTCTGCGGGGGGTCCTGGGCGCCCTGGGTCTGCTGGGATCGCGACCCCCTGGCCCCGCCGCGCCTTCCTGAGTCAGGTTGGGGAGCAGCCGGAGGTTCGCTGGGCTGCGTCGGGGCGCTCTTGGTCTGCTGGGATCGCGATCCCCTGGCCCGGCTGCACTTTTCCGCGTCGGGTTGGGGGACAGCCGGAAGTTCGCTGGGCTGTGTCGGGGCTCTCGAGGCGCCCGTCGCACCCTGCCTAGATGCGCAGAGGGTAGCAGCTCCCGCCTTCGAGGTTCTCGGAGTCGCCCTTCGGCGCCGAGGGTCCATGGCTGACGTTCTCTGTTCCCCTAAAGAAGAATCGACTTCGAGAAAAGGCCACGGGAAGAGGAACTTGTAGTGACCGCTGGAAATGAAACTTAAAAAATGTGGCGCGAACTGCGCGTCTGCGGCGCGGGAGCCGGCAGCTCTAAGAACCCACGCGGAGCGTCGCCGGAGCCACGCCCCTGCCGGGAAGTGGCGCGCAGGTCGCCCGCCTGGCCAGAGGCTGCCGATTTTCTCACCCTTCCGGACCAGCGGAGCCACACGGAACAGACAGACGCCCAGACACCGTTGGGGGACCTCGATGATCAACTTATTGGCATTCTGCCTAAATTGTTTCGGAAAACTACACACTCCTGCACATTTGAAGTTGACAAACTTTTTCAGTGTAAGCTAATATAAGGGTTTTTCTTAATGGTAAATACAAAACATTCAACCTTTGGAAGATAGAGTAAGATGAAGATTGACTAACTGGAGTAAATAGTTCATTTTATTTGACTTAAAAAAAAAGTGGTACTGGGGTTTGAATTCAGGGTCTTGTATTTGCCAAATTGAGCCACGCCTCCAGCTCTTTTTGTCTTTGTATTTCTCGATGGGGTCTCAGCCGGCCTGGACCTTGGGCCTTGTTATTTAGGTTTCCTGTGGTAGCTGGGAGTGACAGGGGCCAGCCACCTGTGTCAGCATTTACTGATTCAGTGCTAAAAGTTTCCAAACTTTTTGCTCTGTGGCCTGGAACCTGGATCCTCCCGATCTCCAATCTTTAAATTAGAGATTTTTTTTTTTTTTTCTGGCAGTACTGACTGGGGTTTAAACTCAGAGCCTCACAGGCAGGGGCTTTAAAGTTCCTGTCTATAAGTTACCCCCATTCTTCTCTAAAGCTGTCAGAAGAATGCACTTAATCATTTACATCATCCATACTGCCTGGTTGTTATGATTTTGGAGTATCTTTCAAACATCAATTTTGAAAGCCAAGCTTCTGTGTGTCTAATTCTTTGGGAGTTGTTCTTGGCAGGGTTACTTTTGCTTCACCTGCCTTTGCCTGACACACAAAATCCTGAAGAAATCATGCCTAAATTATTAACTGCTAAATATGTCTTTTTTTAATAGTAGTGGGATTTGAACTCAGGGCCTCACACTTGCTAGGCAGGCTAGGTTGAGCCACTCCACCAGCCCCATAAATACTCTTTCTTCAGATTTACAGAACCCAGAACATAATCAGGTGACCTTCAGCTAACATCAGAATGTGTAACACTCCTCCATATTCCTTAATCCTATGCATCATCCTAACAACTAAACATTGCTAGGATGTTTAGCTTGCAGAAAGTGTGTACATTTACACAAGCCTCTTGAGGTCAAGGACCATTGCAGTGTTCTGGCCAGAGGGAAAAAAGAAGTACACACTAGTTGAGAAGACTCCGCTCAGCACCTAGCCTTCCTCCACATTCCCACCTGCGACTTCTTTCCCTCCCTGTGAAAGTCCTTTCCTGTACCTGAGTTCCCCAAGATGGAACTTTGAGGATGACAGCTCCTCCATCTCCTCAGGGCCAGCCCTTGAATAAACCTAATTTCTTTCCCATAAACTCTTGTTTCCTGAGTTCTGGCTTTCCAGTAGTGGGGAGCCATTCCTGGGCCAAATAACACATCCACCTTTATAGAAATCCATATTAGAGGAGAACCCTCTGGGTTTAGAATGCCTTGATTACTTTTTAGAACATTTAAACCATTTCTAAGTATACAGTTTAGTGACAAGTGCATTTACATTGTTGTGCAAATACCACCACTGTACATCTCCTGAACTCATCTTGCAGAACTGAAACCATTAAGCAATTCTACCTCCTCCCAGTCTCTGACAATCCCCACTTTACTTTCCATCTGTGATATTGACTGCTCTAAGTCCCTTCACTCAGTGGAGTCATACAGTATTTGTCTTTTTATAACTGGCCAGAAGTACCATCTTCCAGTAATTTACCAAAGTAACAAACACAAAGGGAATGAAGAGAGGTACCCATTATATGTTCATTAGGCCTTGTGGAAAGCATGGATTTTTTCCTTTGGTCACATATGCAAGTCTGTAAGAAGGGAATGAATGAGTACTGTTTGTAAAGGAAGCTCCACAGCCACTGTGCTGGTGCACACCTATAATCGCAGCTACTTGGAAGGAGGAGGCAGGAGCATCCCAAGTTTAAGGCCAGCCCTTGCAACGTTATTGGGGCCCTATCTCAAAAATAAAATACAAACAAAAGAGCTGGGAGTATAATGCAACTGGTAGAACTCTTGCCTGGCATGCTTGAGGCCTGTTCAATCTACAAAAAAAAAAAAAAAAAACAGGTGGGGGGAGGGAATGTCTCACAAATGCTACCATAGCAAAACTTGGAAGAGTCTACAATGTCACCCAAGAGAATTAATGTCAGTATTGAGCATATTAAGTGCTCTAAGAGCTGAGATAGCTTCCTGAAATGCATAAAGGGAAACGATGAGAAAAAGAAGGAAACCAACAGGAGAGGTGCCTGGGTTCAACTAACACAGCAGACTGCTCTACCCAAAAAAGCATGCTTTGCAACAAGCATTGAACAGGAGCCTGGTTTGCTGGAAGCAATTCCCTATGAACTCAGCATAATAAGTATAAAAAAAAATTAAAAGACCTCAGGACTGTTATTTAAAAAAAATTCATGTCACATATGTAAGCATTTTCTTCCTCTTAGGGCTAAATGTTCCATTGTATGCTGATGTCACACTGTGTTTAAACCTTAATCTGTCAGTGGACAAAAATGCCAAACACTTTTTTACTTTCCCATTACTTTTCTTTCCTTTTCCCCCCTTTTTTCTGCTCCCCTTGCTCTTTCCAGGTGTTCCTGTAGCAGGGAGAATGACCAGAAGAGAAACTGACAGAACGGTATTCTGACAAAGTAGCAAGGAGGAAGGGATGGCATAGCAGAGAGATAAAACTTAAAAATCCAAGACATAGTCAGGCACCAGTGACTCATATCTGTATTCCTAGCTACTCAGGAGGCAGAGATCAGGAGGATCGCAGTTTGAAGCCAGCCCAGGCAAATAATTCATGAGACCCTATCTCAAAAAACTTTCACAAAAATAGGACTGGTGGAGTGGCTCAAGGTGAAGGCCCTGAGTTCAAGCCCCAGTACTGCAAAAAAAAAAAAAAAAAATCTAAAACGTGAAGAAGGTCACATAGCACTGAGGGTGAAGTAACCAACAGAGTACATGTAATCATATATGGGCTAAACCCTACCTTTTGCCACTGTAACCTGCTTGCAAGGATATATAAAGTGAGACCCCTGTGTTCTCAGGGCTCAGCCTTTGGACATGAGTCCACTGAGTCTGTGCCGGCACAATAAAGTGTTACTTGCTTGCCTCAGAGTCCCATGTCTCTGTACAAGTTTCCTATAACATTCCCACAATGGGAGCCCCATGGATCAAGCCCCTCTGAAGGTGTCCTGTTGACCAAAGTGACCCCCTTGATGATTTTAAAAGGGAACAGCATGAGTGCTTTACAGAGATGAGCAGTTAGGCTATCCAGAAGGTGGCAGGGCCAAGATGCCATATACCAGTACAGCCCACAACGTCCCCCCTCACTTCTCTTCTTCCCTGCCCTTCCCAGAATGGATGAATACCACCAAAACTCTGACCCCTGGCCAGCCCACCTTCCCCTGACATCCACTCCAAACTCCCAGCCTAGAGGGTTGCACCTGTGGGGGAGGGGCAGGGAGAGAAAGTGACAGAGCAGAAAGATGGTCAGCACCTGCTTGCTCAATTGTTCTTCTTGCTGCCCCCTGGGCTGGGCTGTGGTGGGCATTGGTGTTGCTAGATGGTTTCTCCTTGAACCTGTGTACCTTCCAGGATCCCTTACCAGCTACTGGGGGTAGGGTATGAGGCAAACATGCTGGGAAAATGTGGTGTCATCTGACTCCATCAGGCCTCCTTTTCAAGTTAGTCCCTTTCCACTGAAACTCCCCTTCCGTACTTCCAGTCCTGCCCTTCACCTCATTAAAATACAGAAAAAGAAAACATGCCCAGTTCCCCCAACACTGGCTCTGCCATCTGATTACTGTTTAAAATTTCCCTGAGATCAGTTTTTTTGGACATATCCTTCTCTACTATAGAAAACAGGTTTTTAACACCCCAGAGTAATGAGACCTGGTTTGAAATGGGATGCCAGAGAGGTATATTTTTCTTTTGTAAAATGGAAGCAGGACTGTTGAGTAGTCAAGCTTGCCCTCAAGCTGATCAGTTTCATGGAAGAGTAAAATGAAAGTTGAAGTGTGGAAATCAATTTCCTTAGAACTGTAGAGCACTTGGGTAGTCTTCCAAACCTATGCTTAGGCGTGTGCTTACCTTGTTCTGAAGACCTCTGCTCTGTTTTCTTCAAGGGTTCCAGATGCTTGTTGTGGAATCCTATTCATGACTTTACAGCCAGTTTAATGCTCTCTTTCCTCAGTTCCTAAAATCACCAAGAAAATTATTTTGGGGGGCAGTACTGTGGTTTGAACTCAGGACCTCACACTTGCTAGACAGGCATTCTTCCACTTGAGCCACTCCACCAGCCCTTTTTTGTGTTGGGTATTTTTGAGATAGTGTCTCTCGAAGTATTTGCAGGTGGTTGGCTTCAAACTGAGATGCTCCTGATCTCTGGCTCCTGAGTAGCTAGGATTTCCATTAGTATTTGCTTAATAAAAAATGTACATGCAACATTCCACTGGGCCAGATCAAATACTTCTGCTGGCCTATCAGAGGAGGAAAACTCATTCCTTGCTCAATCTTGCTGCAGCAATCAGTGTCCAAATCACAGTGGGAAAGTCTTTTTTTTTTATTTTTCAGTACTTTGGATCAAACCCAGGACCTTGCACATACTAAGTAAGCAGTCTACCTCTGAGCTACCTCTTGGGATTGCAGGAGTACACCACCATACCCTGCTTAGTTGAATTCTAGTGCAGAACTTGAACTTTATCTAGTAGGAAACCCCAAGAAATTTGTTTCTAGATATATATCTATTTGATTTTACATAATATTCTTTTTTTCTTTGGTGCTGGGGATTAAATCGGGGATTCATGCTTGCTAAGCATTTACCTTAACACTAAGCAACACCCGCATCCTTTTTCTTTTCTTCCTGTCTTTTTTTTTTTTTTTTTGTGGTACTATAGTTTGAAACCAGACCCTTGCTTATGCTAGGCAAGCACTCTATCACTGAGCTACATCTCCCGCCTTTTTAAAATTTATTTTGTATTTTGAGACGGGGTCTCACAAAGTTTCCCAAGCTGACCTTGAACTTGCAATCCTCCGGCTTCAGTCTCCCAAGACTAGCCTGGGCAAGGACCTATCCCACACAAACAGCAACAACCAAAAAAAAAAAAAAAATCCAAGTATCAACTTGAAGACCCTGCACTGAATAACAGGTAAGGTCAGCATAAAGAAGAGTTTTGTCTACATTTACAACACAAATTCAATTCATCACTATGCCTAAACACTCTGTCACTGGGTCTGCAAGTTCTGTTTCTGTTGAAAAGAGAAGGGTCTCACTTAAATGTACACCACATGAAGTGATTAATGGATAGCTCTCAAATAAAGAATGTAGACATGGGCTGGGGGTGTGTTTCAGGAGTAGAGCTCTGCCCTAGCATGAATGAAGCTCTCAGTTTGATGCATAGCACTGCAGTTGAAAAAAAAAAAAAAGGTCTGTGGTTCTCTAATTAATGAACTTATTGAGTTAAAATATTTAAGATAGCTTCAAAAAATTAAAATACCTAGGCATAAATTTAACAAAGGAGGTGACCGACCTATAGGAAGAACACCACAAGTCGCTGAAGAAAGAAATCAGTGAAGACATAGAAGATGGAAGGACATCCCATGCTCATGCATCGACAAAATCAGTATTGTGAAAATGAATATACTGCTGAAAGCAGTCTATATGTTCAATGCAATCCCTGCCAAAATTCCAATGTCATTCTTCACAAAGACAGTAAAGTCAATCCTAAAGTTCATATGGAAGCACAAAAGACCTTTAGTAGCCAAAGCAATCCTGAGCCAAAAGAGCAATGCTGGAGGTATCACAATCCCTGACTTCAAACTATACTACAGAGCTATAGTAATAAAAACAGCATGGTACTGACACAAAAACAGGCATGAAGACCAGTGGAATAGAAGACCCTGACACAAACCCACACAGCTACAGCCATTTGATTTTCAACAAAGGAGCCCAAAATATGTGCTAGAGAAAAAATAGCCTCAACACAGTGTTGGAAAAAATGAAAAAGAATGAAGCTAGATTCACAATAGCTAAGCTATGTGTCCCACAATTGATGAATGGATTAAGAAAACTCCACATACAATGGAGTTTTATTCATCCATTGAGAAGAATAAAATTGTGTTGTTTGCAGGTAGGTGGATAGAACTGGAGAACATCATGTTAAGTGAAGGTCACGTTTTTCCTCATATGTGGAAGAAGATCCATAAGTTAAATGTACACGTGAGCAAATATATATAAAAGATTATTTATGTGTATGTGTATGTGCATGTATGTGTGTGTGTGTGTGTGTGTTTGTGTGTTGAGAGACCAAGATTGTGTTAGTGGATCTGCTTGAGGGGACTATGGAAGACCAGAAAGAGAATGTCAAAGAATGAAAAATATTGAAACAACCCATCTATATGTTAATATAATGAAATGCACTGCAAGCTGTTGAATAATAGGGGAGCAGGGCGATAGAGAAAGAGTACATGATGTCAAGGTGAAACCCTCTTCAATATCAATATAGACTTAAAAAAAAAAAAAGATGAACCATTAGGTAAAAAGGTCTTTTCCAGGGGTGGTACCAGTGGGACAGGGAGGGCATAAGGGTGAATGAGAGTGAATATGGTGGATGAATTTTATATTCACATATGAAAATAGAATAATGGAGCCTGTTGAAATTGTTCTAAGAAGGGGGGAGGAGGCAGAATGGAGGTGGTAAATTTAAGATGTATTGTAAGCAAATATGTAAATACCACAATGTATCCCCCCTGTATAACAGTTTATGCTAATAAAATATTTAAGAAATAGTATATTTCAGGAATAAAGGCATGGCACAAGTGGTACAGCTCCTGCCTAGCATGTGCAAAGACTTGAGTTCAAATCCCAACATCACCAAAAAAGAAGAAAGAAATAGTGTATTTCAGCTTTTTGTGGTGGCACATGTCTATAAACCCAGCACTCAGGAGGCTGAGGCAGGAGTATCTCAAGTTGGAGCCTAGTCTACACAGTCCCCAGCCAGCTTGGGTTACATAGCTAGACTCTTCAAAAAAAAAAAAAAAATCCTGGCAGGCTTGATGGCACACACTACTTGAGGCAGAGATAGAAGAATCAAAAGTCAGAGAACAGCCCAGCTAAAAGTTAGCAAGACACTATCTCAAAAATAAGCTGGGCATGGTGGTGAACGTATGCAATCCCAGCTACTACAGAGGCAGCAGTAGGAGGATGGCTGTCTGAGGTAAGCCTAGTCAAAAGCACAAAACCCTATCTGAAAAACAAACTAAAAGCAGAAAGACTGGGGGCCCAAATTGCTTCAGCTATTGTCCTGATTCAATCTCCAGTACCAAAAAAGGGGGAAAATCCATTGTTGGATGAAGTGTGGGAAAATAATCTCATAAACTGTTAGTGAAAGATGAGACAGTTTTTGGAAAGTATTGTAGCAGTTTATTAGAAACTGAAACACTGAGAAGCTTCTTAACTCAGGACTTAAAGAGTACCACAAATTGGGATGGCAGAGTGGCTCAAGTGTTAAAGCACCTGCCTAGCAAGCGTGAAGTCCCGAGTTCAAACCCCAGTGCTGACAAAAAGGGAAAAAAATTATATATATATTTAAAGATATATGTACAATAAAATAAAAATAATCTACCCATTAATTTGAATTGATTAAATAAATCAAGGTTCCATACACAATTGCATGCTATATAACACTGAAAAGTAAAATACATACAACATACATATACGCTGGCACGGGAGAACATCATGAGATACTAAGTGGAAAGAAGAAAAATGTGGAACAGCATAATATACAATAGCAGCATTACTATATGTGTATGTGTGGTTACGAGTTCTTTAACTCTCCTACAAGCAACATTTATTTATTTGCGGTACTGGCGTTTGAACTCAGGGCCGACAACCTTGAGCCACTCCACCAGCCCTTTTTGAAAAGGGTTTTTCCAGGCAGTCACGCGAACTATTTGCACAGGCTGGCTTCGAACCTCCTGAGTAGCTGGGATTACAGACGTGAGCACCAGCATTGCTCAAGCAATGCTTATTATTAATAAAATAGAAATTATGTATCTAAAAATCTTAATAACCACAATAAAACTGCCACTTAGCTCGCTTCATTATGCGGCCATGACGCCCCGCAGGATAGGGAAAGGATACCCTGCGCCGTTGGGCGCGATCCCTGGGAAGCCAAAGTTACGCCAAGCCGCCAATCAGTGGCGACGCTGGACGTAGACGTGTTACGTCGTGACATCACGGCAAGATGGCTGCGCCCCGTAGGTTTTTTCTCGCCTAGACCACCGCTTGCCGGTGTCAGGTTCCTGGGCTTTCTGCTGGCATGCTCTCCCTCCGAGGCTGCGGCCGCTGGGTCGCCGCCTCTCTCGGCAAACAGCGCCTTCCTTTGGCCCGGTTCAGCGGCGACAGCGTGGCGCCGCGGACTCCGCACTTCGACGTGGTCGTTATAGGTGGAGGACACGCCGGGACCGAGGCCGCCGCGGCCGCCGCTCGCTGCGGCTCCCGCACTCTGCTCCTCACGCACCGCGTGGACACCATCGGTGAGGAGCGAGGAAGAGGTGGAGCTTGGCGCAGGACGCGGGGCCCAAAGCCTCATGGGGCGCCCTCTTCCCTTTCTGAGGCTGAAGACAGTCGTAGCCTGGGGTTTTGGCAGGGATCAGGCTTTTGTTTTCTCCGTTGTCAGTGCTCCTGCACTGATTGTTGATTGTGGTCCGTGGGTGTTGTGAATAGTGTTACAATAAATAGGGGAGTGCAATATTTCGTCAACATACTGATTTAAGTTCTTTTACATATATACCAAGTAGCACAAAACCCCTCTTCTTCTGTGATCTAAGTTCTCTGGGGAGATAGATACCTTTCAGAGATATTTTAATGACTTATTTCTTTTGGCGGTTCTGGAGTTGACTCAGGGCCTCATGCTTGTTAGACTCTACCGCTTAAGCCTCTCTGCCAGGCGTGCGTGCGTGTGCGTGCGCGTGTGTGTGTGTGTGTGTGTGTTAGAGTCTCAGTTTTTTGTTAGGTAATTTGGTACCGAATCAGGTATTCGTACTTGATCTCAGCAAAGAGGGTTGGCTTTGAAGGTTGAATCCATAGGAATGCAGGAGACAAGAATGATTCAGTCGAATTATAGGCTTACAGCTCCTTTTAAAATTAGAGACAAATTTATTTTTCTTTATTTTCTACTAACCTGGAAAATAACGTTGTTTAGCAAACTACTTTTTGCCTTTCTCAACAGAAGAAAAAAATGTATGCATTTCATGGAGGCTGTTCTGCATTAGATTCAGAATTTAGGTTCCACTGTGTATCTGCTGTGTGACTTTGGACAAAAGACAATTTATCTAAGCCTCATTTTCTCTGTAAAACAGAAATAACAGCAGTTATCAACCTGATAGTGTAGCTGTAAAATTTACCAGAAAATACGTGTAAATCACCTGGAACTGCATTAAGTAGTCAGATATTATATGTTATTTTATCATGGCTTTTTACATTGCTGATTTAAATTCTTTAGTAGAGTGAAATAAACTGACTTGACACATTTCTATTACCACCACTATGTGAACCTTTCACATAGTAGGCAACCGCTCTACCACTGAGTCACATCCCCAGCCCCTAGACTTTTTTTTTTTTTTTAGCAGTACTGGGATTTGAACTCAGGGCTTCACACATGCTAGGCAGGCACTTTACCACTTCAGCCACTGTGCCAGCCGTGTTTTTTATTGGGTATTTTTGAGACAGGGTCTCCTGAACTACAGTGCTGGCTTGGAACTGCAAGCCTCCTGTTTTCTGCCTCCCAAATAGCTAGGATTACAGGCATGAGTCACAGGTGCCTGGCTTAGATTTCATTTTTTTATATGAACTCCAAATGATTGAGAGTGAATGCTGGCCTTTCTGAGTTTGGTTTTGAGAAAGATTTTGAGGGCTAAGCAGAAGAGAGTGTCGTGTTCAGCTTTCATGCCTGTAAGGAAGGGAGCTCAACATTGATTCACATAGTTCCTTGAGAAAAAGTTGTCAGCAGTTTAGAAGACAAGGATTTTTCTTGCACTTGATTTTACAAATGTAATTCTTGTAAATAGTAAAGTAAAATATTTCAAAAAGTGCCTAGAAGTTGTTAAGCATGGTGATATAAAGAAATGGTGGAGTTTCAGTAATTTGTTCTTAGGGTTGTTCTTTCCTCTGATAATGCTACTAAGTAATAAGAGGTGAAAGCTAAGTCATTTAGCGAAGTAAAAATAGACACCACAACTTCAGATGCTCTAGGAGCCAGCATGTCATTTAAATGTGTGAAGCTAGGTGATGTAAAACAGCATAGAATGAGGAAACCAAGGTGAACTGGAAATATGGTTCTATTCAGTGAGTATAATTGTTTTTAACAAAAGTCGAGTAGAACCTCACAGGAAAGCCACTGGATTGTAACCTTTGATCTACAATTATCTGAGATGTGAAAAGCATGGCTTGGGAGTCCTACAGAGTAATAGAAAAAAAAGAAATCAGATTTGGTGACGTCATTTCACATTTCTAGTTTGTAGTTTGGTTAGTAACTCATGAGCAATTCAAATGTTTCAGGTATGATTTAGTTACTGTGTGGGGGATTTTATTCTAAATAAAAAGCCCTTGTCTGAAACATTTACAGTTGATAATGTTTTTATATAAATAATTTGTTAAATTAGATACTCAGGAGTGCAAGTTGCTTCCTTTTATATGAACTTAATAGTGTGATAAATTTTCACTATGCTTATTGATTTTTTCTTACTTTGCTTATTGATTTTGTACAAAGTGTATAGAACACTTGTCCAAGATTCATGTAAGGGCATAAATACTAATTGCTTACTCATTTGAGAAAATAAGAAATATTGAAGGATTTTTAAAATGTGGCTGGTGATAAAAATTATTTTAGATTAAAAATAAATCTAGGTCTGGTAGAGATGAACCAGTTTGGAGTTGTAATACACATGTGCCTGGAAGCAACACTAGGAATCTCTCTGTATAAGCTATCTTCTTTATCTAAGACTAGCAAAAATGCTATGTTTTTCTTATTATCTCTTTATGTTTTCTCTTCAACAACATTGGAGAATAAGAGGGCAGAACAGGGTCTGCCTGGAAGCCAGGGAGGTGGGAGGGGAGGGGCAGGGGGCAGGGGAGAGAGGTTCAACCCCAGCACCACAAGGAAAAATATTCAGTGTAGTTATGAGACTTTTTTTTTTTTTTTTTTTTGATGGCATTGGGGTTTTAACTCAAGGCCTTATGCTTGCTAGGCAGGTGGTGTTACCACTTGAGCCACTCCATCAGCCCGAGTTATAGGATATTTTTAAGGTAAAAGATGATAGGCAGATAATATTTTGTGCTGATCTGAGAAAAAAATTAGGATAATTATTAGTAAATGTTACTTATTTTTATTGCTTACTCTGTGCCACTTTTTTTTTTTTTTAATGATACTGGGGCTTGAACTCAGGGCCTTCACCAGCCCTTTTTTGTGATGGGATTTTTTTGAGATAGGGTCTTGCGAACTATTTCCCCAGGCTGGCTTCAAACCTCAATCCTCCTGAACTCTGCTGCCTGAGTAGCTAGGATTACAGGTGTGAACCTCTGCCACCGGCCCAGACACTGTTTTAAGTGCTTTATGTACATTTTCTCATTTTGCAAGTAACAGAAAATCCTTATTCTACTAGTTTTAGCAAAATGAATTTATTATCTAGTCCACATGTAGATCAACTCTTAAGGTTGGTTAAGTCAGCAGCTAACACTCCAGTTTTCAGAGTGGAAAAGCTAAAGGATGGAAAGGTAGCCTTCCAAAATTACAGAGCTAATAAGACCTGGAAATTGAGCTTCCATCTCTTTCACACATTCCTCATAGTCATACCCTCCAAATGCTTATAATCGCAGCACCTTTCACCTTCCCAGTGGACACCACCAAAGCTTTCAGAGGGCTTCATGGTCACTGCAGCAGATGTGCAGATGGTGACATATTTTCCACCCCTCCTCCTCCCATAAAAAACTTTGAGGGCTGGCAGAGTACTCAAATGGTAGAGCACCTACCTAGCAAGTGTAAGGTCATGGGTTCAAACTCTAGTGCCTCAGGAAAAAAAAAAAAATTTGAGGTAGCCAGGTGCTGGTGGCTCACATCTGTAATCCTAGCTAGTTGGGAGACTGAAATCAGGAGGATCAAGGTTCAAGGCCAGCCCAGGGAAATAGTTTGCAAGTCCCCAACTCCTAAATAACAAGAGCAAAATGGACTGGAGGTGTGGCTCAAGTGATAGAGTGCTTGCTTTGCAATTATGAAACCCCAGTCCCACCAAAAAAAAAAATCCTTTGAGGTAACCACATAAGTTTCTACCTACAATTGACTGATGGATTTAAAGAGAAGGTAAATAGATAATATGGTGTCTACTTTCAAGAAGTTTTTAACAATTATTTCTACAAAATACAAGCAGAAAGAAAACAGTATGTGGCATTTATGAGAACTAATTTATTATAACCATGAGCCAGTGCCAAGGAAAATCTTAAAAGTGTGCTTTAAAAAAAAAAGTACTTGAGGGGATGGGGTGTGGCTCAAACGGTAGAGCATTAAAACCTCCTTGCCACAAGAAAAATTTAAATAATAAAGTTTGCTTGATTTAGGAAGGTTTCATGAGGTAAGAATTCCATGTTTTAAAGGAAAAGCAAACCTAATGAAGCTAAAAATACGCATGAAGAGAAAGGTTAGAAAGTTCAGGTACTGGTTGATCTTTCAGGGTGGCCTAGACAACTCTTGCATCCCATTTGGGACTTCGGGATTTTCCTTACAGTTTTCTATTTTCCCAAGTTTTCCATTTTCTGTCATGTAAGGTGATTCTGGTTACCTGTAATAATAGTTCTCTGTTAAGCACTCACTCTGCAGGGTGTTCATGTGTTTATTTTGTGTCCATTCTCTTTAGGTCAGATGTCCTGTAATCCTTCCTTTGGTGGCATTGGAAAGGGGCATTTAATGCGGGAAGTGGATGCGTTGGATGGCCTGTGTTCTCGAATCTGTGACCAGTCTGGTGTACATTACAAAGTACTAAACCGGCGTAAGGGACCAGCTGTGTGGGGACTAAGAGCTCAAATTGATAGAAAACTCTATAAACAAAACATGCAGGTGAGAATTGGGCATGAGACCGGGAAGATGGCAGCGAGTACGTAGCTGTGTGTGTCAAGTGGCATTGTCTTTTGGCAGAAAGAGATCCTGAATACACCACTGCTTACTGTTCAAGAGGGAGCGGTAGAAGACCTGATTCTTACAGAACCAGAGCCCAAGCACCCTGGGAAGTGCCGTGTCAGTGGTGTTGTTTTGGGTATGTGCTGACTGATAATGTTAATGACAGCATATAACATTCTGGGTGAGAAACGTGTTTTAGAACATGTGGAGACGTTTTTCTTATACCAGGAAATTACTGTGTTTTCTCTGCCTGGATATGGAAAGCTGTGCAGATATTCATGTTTCTCTTTTAATTTTGATCATTGTGAAGCTCAGTCAAATTCTGAGCTCATTAGTACTATCTTAGTGTAGAATTCGACATCTACATACTGGTGTCTTTTCCTCCTGGTCCTTCTGTAATTTCTAGTTTTTCTAGTTCTGACTTCAAATCTTTAAAAAAATTTATAGCTTACCAATTTATATGTTTTTATTTAAAAGAGTTTTGTATTTCAATGAAAGTGATTCACACAATTTTTGTAATTAAATGAAATGTAGAAAATTGTCAGGGAAAACAGCTACCTCCTTGCCTGAAGATAACCAACTTTTTTAGCTGTCACTTTTGGCATATGCTTCCATATTTCTTTTTTTTTTTTTTTTTTTTTTTTTTGTGGTACTGGGGTTTAAACCCAGGACCTTGTGCTTGAGCCATGCCCCCACCCTTGAATTGCTGTCAGTATATTTCGCGTGTGTGTGTGTGTGTGTGTGTGTGTGTGTGTGTGTGTGTGTGTTACTCGGGACCTAGTGCTGCTAGGCAAGCTGTCTACTACTTGAGCCATGCCCCCAGACTTAAAAAGTAAATAAAACAAAAATTTCTTTATTTTTCAGATAGAGGCTGCTCTGGACTGTGATCCTCTTATTTAAGCCTCCACTAGCTGGGATTACGAGAGTGTACTTCCACACCCGACTTTTTTGTTGAAATGGTTTTTCACTAACTTTTTGCCCTCCCCATTTCTACCTCCTGGGTAGCTGGGATTATAGGCATGAGCCACCATACCTGGCTCTTTCCTTTCTTTTTTCCATTCTTTTACTACTCTGTTCTTTTTTTTTTAATGACCCAGAGTCTCACTCTGTCGTCCAGGATGCCCTCAAACTCAAGATCCTCCTGCCTTTACTTCCCGAGTGCTGGAATTACAGGTGTGTACCACCATACCTGGTATGATCCTTTCTTTTTGGAGACAGGGTCTCACTATATGGTCCAGATTGGTTTTAAACTCCTGGGTTCAGGCAATCCTTCTACCTCAGCCTCCCAAGTATCTGGGAGTACAGGCATGTGCTGCATGTGCTTCCGTGCCAGAATATCGTTTTCTTTCTTTCTTTCTTTTTTTTTTTTTTTTTTGTACTGGGTTTGGAATCAGGGCCTGGTGCTTGCTAGGCAAGCAGTCTACCACTTGAGCCTCACATCCATCCCAAATATCACTATCTTTTTTTGTTGTTTTGTTTTTGTTTTTGCTCAATGTTACTGGTATTATAAGAACAAGCTGTTCCCAAAATCTTGCTTTTGCCAAGGTGTGCATGATGCCAAGATCTGCACCTTTGATGGGGGTGGGGGGAGTGGATGATTTTCCACTTTGTGGCACATGGTGTCTGATGAACATGAGCAGCTCTCCTCTGAAGCCCTGGAGGCTGCTCGTATTTGTGCCAACAAGTACATGGTAAAAAGGTGTAGCAAAGATGGCTTACATATTTGAGTTCAGCTGCACCCTTTACACATCATTCACAGGCACAAGGTGTCCTGTGCCGGGGCTCACATGCTCCAGACAGGGATGTGGGTGCCTTTGGGAAGCCCGAGGGTGCAGTGGCCAGGGCTTACACCGGCCAGGTAATCGCGCATCCATACCAAGCTGCAGATAAGAAGGAACATGTGATTGAGGCCCTACACAGGGCCAAGTTCAAGTTCCCTGGCCACCAGAGATCCACATCTCAAAGAAGTGGGGCTTTGCCAAGTTTAATGCAGATGGATTTGAAGACATGGTACTGAGAAGCGCCTCATCCCTGATGGCTGTGGGGTCAAATATAGCCTGCTAGTGGTCCTCTGAGGGCTCCCACTGTGCTGCCCCTCCCTAATCACCTTAATCACCAATAAATCCTCCCGTCCACTTAAAGAAAAGTGCTCGTATCATGTTTGACTCTCCCAGAACGTACGGGCTGATAACTTGCTGTCAACCAAAGCCTTACCAGTAAAAATACAGTTAACGTGCATGTTATATGTTGTATGTATGATATGTTTGGTGAAAAATGGACAAGAACCACTGGATTCTCCTGCCTCAGAGCTAAGAGCTCCTAAGAGCTGGGTTTATGAGTGTGCACTGCCATCCCTGGCTGTAATAATTTTTTTAATTGTAGCAAAGTATGTATTTGAACATATAAGTATATATCATATGTAATTTACCATTTTAAGCATTTTAATGTCATTAAGTACATTTACAATATTGTGCAACCATTACTACTGTTCATAATTTTTGCCATCCTAAACTGAAATTCTGTACCCATTAAACAACTGCTCATTACCTGAAGAATAAATCTCTTTTCCTGTATGGCAGATCTGTCTGGATGCAGAACTTTAATATGTAGATTTTAACTTTTTCTCTCATTTTAGCCCCAAGCTTCATTGCTACATTCTTTAGTTATTCTCAGTTTTCCAATTTTGAGCCTTTAAGGACAAATCAGGTCATTCTCACTGATGTCTTCCCTTCTTCTAACTGCTTTTTGTCATTCAGAAAAAAGGTTGAGCTTTCTTGTCCTCTGACAAGTTCTCTCACATTACTTGTCTTTGTTGTCTTATACTTTTTTCATTCTTTTATTTCATTTTCTAGGATTTCAGGAGGGAGAAGAAATCCTGTGAGGCAGCCTGTCATATTTAACCAGAATTCTAAAATTAATTCACTTTTAAAATGAATTGCAACTAATTTTTTGGTGCTGATAATGATTTTAGGAACATGTGTATTGATAATAATACTTTGTGTTTTCTCAACCATATTTCTTGGTTTCTTGGGATTGATGACATACAGTCTTCTGATTCATTTAGAATTCTTTGTCTGGGTTGGGGGAAATGGGGAAATGTTGGTCAAAAGCTACAGACTTTCAGTTATGAGATGACTACTCTAGAGAGCCAATGCACAGCATAGTAACTTCAGTTAATAGTCTATATTTGACATTTGCTGAAGGTGTAGATATTAAATATTCTTAGCTCACTGGAAAAAACAAAAAGATCACCTTGCCAGGCCTATGATCTCACCATGGGGAGGCATAGGTAGGAGGTTCAAAATCCAAGGCTGGTCTGGGCAAAAATGTGAGACCCTCGCCAAAAAATAACTAAAGCAAACGAGGGCGGGGTTGTAGCTAAAGTTGTAGAGCACCTACCTAGCAAGTGCAAGGCCCTGAGTCCAAACCCCAGTACCAAAAAAAATGTAACATTAAGGTAATGGGCATGTTAATTAGCTTGATTATGGAAATTGTTACACTTACAGCAAAATACCGAGTTAAATGTATAACAGTTTTTAGTTTGTCAACCAAACCTCAGTAAAGTTCAAAAACACAAATACCAAAAAAAGATGCTCAGGTTTCTAAAGACAAAGGTTTTCTGTAATGTAAAATAGTTTTTTCATTTTGATCTGTGGTAACAATCAGAAAACATTTTGCTTTTTTTCACTGTATTCAGTGGATGGAAGTACAGTTTATGCAGAGAGTGTGATTCTGACTACTGGGACATTTCTGCGGGGCATGATTATAATTGGATTGGAGATGCATCCTGCTGGACGTTTAGGGGATCAGCCTTCTGTAGGGTTGGCTCAGACTCTGGAGAAATTGGGGTTTGTGGTTGGAAGACTGAAGACTGGGACTCCACCCCGAATTGCCAAAGACACCATTAACTTCAGCATTCTGAACAAGCACACACCAGATGACCCATCGAGACCATTCAGCTTTGTCAATGAGACAGTGTGGATTAAGGTAAGACAATTTCTGAAAACCTGGCTTTACAGCTCATATTGACTATTCACAGCAAGAAGGAGCCTAACCATTTCTTTTCTTTTTTAACAGTTTACTTTGTATCACTATTGCTTAGGGTGCATAGAAGTGATCTTTAAAAGTTTTAGCTAATTTGGCTACGTGGGCGCTTCCCATTAAATTCTTAAGTTTCATTGCTTGTATAACCTATTTTGAGAATTAAACTTTTTGAAATAATTTCAGACCTATAGAAAAATTGCAAGGCTATTATTAAAAAAAGTCCTGTAAACTATTAAAGTCACCCATTCATCAATTTTTACCATGTGTATCCCCATAGGTAGGGACATACAGATATATATGCATATCTAATATGTATTTAATGTGTAATATTATAATATATGCATTTATTCTTATTTTTTTCTGGAACATTTGAGTGTAATTTGCAGAAATCATAAACTTTTACCTCTATAAATACTTCAGTCTATATCTCAACTAAATTTAAAGAGGTGTGTTTGTAGAACCTCAACACAATGCTGAAATTTCGGACTGATCCAGTCCATACTCAGATTTTGCTCGTTTTTCCAATATTATTCAAAGTCACCTTTTTTCCCCAATCTAGGGTCATTTATTACTGCCCTTTTTTTGAATATATTTTTTTGCCCTTTTTATGTATACTGAGAATGGAACCCAGGATCTTGAACATGTTAGGCATGTGCTGTACCACTGAGCTATATCTCCAGCCCCATGCATTTCATTTAATTGTCATTTCTCTTTAACGTGAAAAAGTTCCTCTGACTTTTGTGAAACTGACATTTTTGAAGAGTATAGGTAACTGTTAACCTGTCTTTTAAGTTAAAAAAAAAATGTATAATGTATGTGTGAAATTGATGGTCCCAGTTTCTGGTAAATTTGTACTGTACTGATGACTGGCTCCAAATAATTCTATTACTTTAAGCAAGTCAGTTTTGTATTTTTACTTTGGTAAAATGCAAATTATGATGATACTTTCTTAGTATACATGCTTTTAAACTTTTTTGAGACAGGGTCTTGACATAAACTCTTGATTCTTCTGCTTTACCTCCCTAAATGCTTTTAAGCATTTTTTTCTGAATTGTACCCCAGCCCCACTTTTAAATTTTCTACTGTAAATTTTCAGTTTTTGAGCCAAGCATGATGGCACACACCTACATTCCCAGCATTCTGGAGGCTGAGTCTAAGGCAGGAGGATCAAAAGTTTAAGGCTACTTTGGGCTACATGGTGAGATCCTGTCTCAAAAATAATAAATAAAACCAAGCATGGTGGCTCACGCCTAAGGATTGCAGTTTGAAGTCAACCTAAGCAAAAAGTTAGAATATCCCATCTTAATAAGCAGGGTAAAGTGGCACAAGCCTGTGGTCTCAGCTACTTGGGAGGCTGTAAGTAGGAAGATCACGGTCTGAGGCTGCCCCTGGGCAAAATCATGAGACCTTACCTGAAAAATAACTAAAGCATGAAAGGGCCAGGGGCATGGCTCAAGTGGTAGAGTGCCTGCCTAGCACACACAGAAGAGGCCTCCAACTAAAACCCCGGTATCATAATAAATAATATTTTCAGGTTTACATAAAGTATGGAAATTGTGTAATGAATTCACATTTCCATCACTCAGCTTTAATAACATTTTGGCTGAAGGGTTTTTCAAGATAGGGTCTCACAAACTATTTGCCTGGGTTGGCTTTGAACCACAATCTTCCTGATCTCTGCCTCCTGAGTAGCTAGGATTACAGGTGTGAGCCACCTTCTCCCAGCTATTGCTGAATTTTAAAACAATTCTAAATATCACATCATTTCGTTTATACTTTTGTATATGTCTTTAATGGAAAAGAACTTTTTTTTTCTTTTATTCATATATGCATACAATGTTTAGGTCATTTCTCCCCTATTCCCCCCACCCCCTCCCTTACCCCTCCGCCCCCTTCCTCTCCCCCCCACCCCCTCGCTACCAGGCAGAAACTATTTTGCCCTTATCTCTAATTTTATTGAAGAGAGAGTATAAGCAAAAATAGGAAGGACCAAGGGTTTTTGCTAGTTGAGATAAGGATAGCTATACAGGGAGTTGACTTGCATTGCTTTCCTTTGCATGTGTGTTACCTTCCAAGTTAATTCTTCTCAAACTAACCTTTTCTCTAGTTCCTGGTTCCCTTCTCCTATTGGCCTCAGTCGCTTTAAAGTATCTGCATTAGTTTCTCTGCATTGAGGGCAACAAATGCTATCTAGTTTTTTAGGTGTCTTACATATCCTCCTACCTCCCTTGTGTGCTCTCACTTTATCATGTGATCAAAGTCCAATCCCCTTGTTGTGTTTGCCCTTGATCTAATGTCCGCATATGAGGGAGAACATACAATTTTTGATCTTTTGGGCCAGGCTGACCTCACTCAGAATGATGTTCTCCAATTCCATCCATTTACCAGCAAATGATAACATTTCATTCTTCTTTATGGTTGCATAAAATTCCATTGTGTATAAATACCACTTTTTCTTAATCCATTTTGGTCAGTAGGGGTATCTTGGCTGTTTCCATAACTTGGCTGTTGTGAATAGTGCTGCAATAAACATGGGTGTGCAAGTGCCTCTGGAGTAACCTGTGTCACATTCTTTTGGGTATATCCCCAAGAGTGGTATTGCTGGATCATATGGTAGATCTATGTTTAGATTTTTAAGAAGCCTCCAAATTTTTTTCCAGAGTGGTTGCACTAGTTTGCATTCCCACCAGCAGTGTAAAAGGGTTCCTTTCCCCCCACCCCCATTCTCGCCAACACCTGTTGTTGGTGGTTTTGCTGATGATGGCTATTCTAACAGGGGTGAGGTGGAATCTTACCATGGTTTTAATTTGCATTTCCTTTATTGCTAGAGATGGTGAGCATTTTTTCATGTTTTTTGGCCATTTGAATTTCTTCTTTTGAGAAAGTTCTGTTTAATTCACTTGCCCATTTCTTTATTGGTTCATTAATTTTGGGAGAATTTAGTTTTTTGAGTTCCCTATGTATCCTGGTTATCAGTCCTTTGTCTGATATGTAGCTGGCAAATGTTTGATATTAAGATCCTTGATCCATTTTGAGTTAATATTGGTATAGGGTGATAAACATGGATCTAGTTTCAGTTTTTTGCAGACTCTAACCAGTGGAAAAGAACTTTTTAAAAAAAAACAGCCATGCCATTATCACCCCAACAGGACATTAATTCTCCCGTTTTTTGTTTTGTTTTGTTATGGCAACATTAGAGTTTTAACTAATATTGTTTGCTAGGCGAGCACTCTACCATTTGAGCCATGCTCCAGCCCCACTTTATTATTATCATTACTATTACTACTATTATTGGTGGTGGTGGTTCTGGGGTTTGAACGCAGAGCCTGGCACTAGTAAGATGCTAGTCATCTACTTACTAGTCAGATGCTCTGCCATTTGAGTAACACGTCAGCCCTTTTAATATCATTTTATGCCATGTCCATTTTTCCTAGTTGCCTTTAAAATGTTTTTTATAGTTGTTTTATTTGAACTGGAAACCAAAAAAGATCCACACATTAAACTGGAGAATGTGTTTTATAACCTATTCTTTTTCCTCTTTTTAAGTTTTAGCATTTATATATAGAAGAAATTAAGTCTTTCTTTTTTTCTCTAGAACTTCTCACAATCTGTATCTGTGTGATTGTACCCCTCTGGAACTTTATTTCTCTACCGTTTGTCCTATAAACTGATAATTAGTTCTAGAAGCTTCCTTAGATTTAGGTTCATTTTTGGAGTTATTCGTTTATTTTTGGCAAGAATAGTTCATAAGTACTACTGGCTTTATGAAAAGAGTTAAGTCTATTAAAAGTAAGTAAATATTGTGTGGAACTTATTTGGATAAGAGAAGGAAAACAGTACTGCCTGTGGTTGCTGTTTTTTAGCCAGAAGACCAGCTGCCTTGCTACTTGACTTATACCAACCCTAGAGTGGATGAGATTATCCTTGAGAACCTTCACCTTAACAGTCATGTTAAGGAAACTACAAGAGGGCCTCGGTAAGGACACACAAAATGTCAGCACTTGGGTACTGTAGGGAATGATGTCAGCCCCTTTTTTGTTCAATTTTTTAAATTTATTTATTTTTTACTTCAATGTCCTATTCTAGATACTGTCCCTCTATTGAATCAAAGGTTTTACGTTTTCCAAACCGTGTACATCAGGTTTGGTTGGAACCTGAAGGAATGGATTCTGACCTTATCTACCCACAAGGCTTGTCTGTGACACTACCAGCTGAGCTACAAGAGAGAATGATCACATGCATCAAAGGCTTGGAGAAAGCTAAAATGATTCACCCAGGTAAAGAGACTCACAGAGCTCCTTCAGTGGAAGCTCAGTATTACCTTAGCAATGAGTGGGGAGGTCCTAACTGCTTTCATTGTGGCTTAGAGCCTCAGAAGGTCAACTTCTGTACATTTAAAATAGTCCTTATTTTTGAAGGACACTGATAAAATCTTTGCATCACTACCTTAAGGCAAATCCAACTATGTTTTTGCTTACTTTACACATTTATTCTTTTATTAGGCTATGGTGTTCAGTATGATTACTTAGATCCCCGTCAGATCACTCCTTCCCTCGAGACTCACTTGGTTCAACGACTCTTCTTTGCTGGACAGATAAATGGCACCACTGGTTATGAGGAAGCTGCAGCTCAAGTAAGCTTGTTCAGATGTTACTGTAAACCAAAAGGGACTATTTAATTAGTGTTCCTTTTTTTCTAATTTGTTTTTGTTTTTGAAACAGGCTCTCAACTATGTAGCCCAGGCTGGCCTATCTTCTTGCTTCAGCCTCCTGATTGCTAGAATTACAGGCATGCACCACCATGCATGTTTGTTGTGTTAACTGTATAGATCTTAGCTGTAACCCATAACTGTAATAGGAGACTATTAGTGTATCAGAGTGTATAGAGATGGTTGTTGATGGTAGAGTGGCTCAAGTGGTAGAGCACCTGCCTAGCAAGTGCAAAGCCCTTAGTTCAAGCCCCAGTACTACAAAAAAGAGTGAAAGAAAGAGAGAGATGGTTGTTGTATAAGCTAGGATTTTAAAAACATTTGTGGCTTTATTACTGTTTTCTGAGCTCCTAGATCTGATACTAAATTTTAATTAGATTTGTAGTATTGCTTCTGAAGTTTCTTTAAAAAGAAAACTTAGTTCTTTTAACATAACTTTATTGAAAAATCATCATATAATTATTCCTTATAAGTGGGAAATTGTGTTCGTTTTATTTGTAAGTGGGAAAAAGCTAGAAAATTCTTACAGGTAGATTTAAAAAAAAAAAAAAATTAGCCCTCCCTAGGCTTTTACTCATAGCATGTTAACATGGTACATTACCCATATTCTGTTTCTGAATATGGATCACATTTTCTGCCTCTTGTTATATTCCTTATGGGCCTGCTTTGTTCCCCCATGTAGTTCTTCCCAGGTAGAATTCTAATATGATAGTTCTCAGTTCAGTTCGTAATAGCCTTTTAAACATTTCAGTCCTCTTGTAGGGTGTGATAGCTGGAATCAATGCCAGTCTTCGAGTCAGTGGCAAGTCGCCCTTTGTTGTTAGTCGAACAGAAGGCTACATTGGAGTCTTGATTGATGACCTCACCACACTGGGCACCAACGAACCATACCGAATGTTTACCAGCCGAGTGGAGTTCCGTTTGTCACTGCGCCCTGATAACGCCGACAGCCGGCTCACATTCCGAGGTAGCTCTTCACCAAGTCCTGTAGCCTGGTTTACTATTCTTTAAAACTTCTCTCATTATATTCTCTCCTTTTCCTAGGGCATAAGGAAGCTGGCTGTGTGTCCCAAGAACGATACGAAAGAGCTTCTTGGATGAAATCTTCTTTAGAAGAAGGCATTTCTGTGCTGAAATCCATTGAGTTTTCGAGCTCCAAGTGGAAAAAGTTAATCCCACAGGTTTCTATCAGTGTTAAAAAAAGTCTGCCTGTCAGGTATGACTTTTTTTTTTTTTGAGTTTGAACTCAGGGCCTCACATTTGCTAAGCAGGCATTCTACCACTTGATTGAGCCACACCCCAGGCCTGGTATGCACTTCTAATATAAACCTCTCACTTCTTACAGTAAAATGAAATCATTTCAGAGAGACATTACTTATAGGCATCATACCTACACATTTGGGAAGGGGGTACTGGGGTTTGAACTCAGAGCTTTACACTTGCAAAGTAGGCATTCTACCACTTGAGCCACACTTCCAATCCATTTTGCTGTGGTTATTTTGGAGATGGGGTCTTGCAAACTATTTTTCAGGCTGACCTCCAAATGTGATCCTCCTGATCTCAGCCTCCCAAGTAGCTAGGACTGCAGGCATGAGCCACCAGCACCTGGCTCTACACATTTTAAATGAACATAGCTTGCTTATGGTTTTTTTCCAGTACCCTTGAGATGTATTTTATTAATTTACATATATATATAAAATGTCTGTGGTATAGCTCTGATGTGGTAAAAATTCATTTGCAAATTATACCAAATTAGGAGAAAATGTCAGACTGGAAGAGTACTTTTTAAATATGTCATTTTTACAGTCTCTTTACAGAGACTTAAAACATGCTCATAATGGCTTTTCCTTCCTTAAAAAGTTCTTTAAAAATAAACAAACACCTCTAGCATAGTTTCCAGTATGCAAGAAAATGACTCATTCACAGGACACGAGGGTATAAAGCATATTCCCTGCTCTTTGGGAAGGTGGCGGGAGCCTTGTTAGCAGAGGATATTCTGTCCTGAAACAAGAAGGAGGGTGAGTGGATTATACCATGCTACCCTTACCTCAACTTAATTCTCATGTTAAGGAATTCTGAAATTTGGTATTATTCCAGAGATCCTTGGTCTTCATCTACCTTATACAGTGTGGATCCTTTTGTTAATGAAACTTTTGTGTTTTTTCAGCGCTCTGGATCTTCTAAGGTATGAGGAAGTCGACATGGAGTTACTAGCCAGTGCAGTTCCAGAGCCCTTAAAGAAGTATACTAGATGTAAAGAGCTAGCTGAAAGACTGAAGATAGAAGGTAAAAAGTTATTTTTTACTTAAGATGACTACATACTTTTTTCCCCATCTGTGCAAGTTACATATGAACAGCATATCTATTAAGAGCTCCATACCATAGCAAAGGCCCTGAATTCAAGCCCCAGTACTGTAAGAAAAAAATTTTTTTTACCTTGAACTGCTTTTTTATATTTTCCCCATCTAATGTTATAGTACTACTGTCTTTGGCTTTCACACTCTACCAGTAACAAATACTCACTCTGTATCAGGCAAAGAAATCTGAGTGGGCCTGCATACACTGTAGCACACATTGTGCTCACATGTTCTTGGTCAGTGTATTGATTGTCATGCCACATGTTCTCAGGTTTCTTTTTTTTTTTTTTTTTCGATAGTGCAACTCCACCAGCCCTTTTTTATGTTAGGTATTTTCGAGATAGGGTCTAGCGGAATTAACTGCCCAGGGCTGGCTTTGAACTGCAATCCTACTGAGCTCTGCCTCCTGAGTAGCTAGAAATACAGGCGTGAGCCACTGGCGCCTGACTTCAAATTTCTTTTACTTGTTTTTTTTTCCTTCAACTTTTTCATTATGAAAATTTTCAAACAAAAAGTACTGAGGGCTTACTTCAGTATTTAAATATTTATGGCTTACCTGGGCATCAATGACTCACACCTCTAATCCTAGCTTCTTGAGAGGCTGAGATTGGAGGACCAAGGTTCAAGGCCAAACTGGGCAAAAAGTTTGCATGACCCCATCTCAGTGGGAAAAAGCTGCATGTGGTGGGGCATGCCTATCATCCCAGCAACAACAGGAAGTAAAAAACTGGAGAATCACCAGCTCAGGCAAAAAGTGAGACTATCTCCAAAACAACCAGAGAAAAATGGGCTTGGAGGTGTGATTCAAGCCTAGAGCACTTGCCTCAAAAGTCTGAAACCCCAAGTTCAAACCCCAGTACCACCAAAAAATAAGTATTTATGGCTTACCTTTGGGAAAAGGTGATTGATTTAATTGCATATTTTATACTTGGTTTGCAGTTTTCCTTTGTTCAGTAAATATTAGGCTGGAGGCAAGGTGCAAAGTACATGACCCTGAGTTCAAACCCCAGTACTGGCCCCTGCAAAAAAAAAAAAAAAAAAAAAATCTAGGTTAGAATAATCTAGAACTATCATTACTTTTTTTATAGGAAACCGTGACTTTAATTACAGTGTTGCTACTGTTTTTCCTTGTTCTTTAAAGACTAGAACATATAAAGATTCTAGTATCTATCTATGGCTTAAAAGAAACCACGTTGGTTAAAATATGACACATATGTATCTCCCCAACTAGACAAGTTTCTTGAGGACAGAAATCAATGTCAGTTTGTATTATCTTTCTTGTTCTGCTGTATGTATTTATGAGATTAAATAAATATACCCTTAAATGTGTATTACCTTAGGTACTCCATCAGACCCTGAAATCTATTCACGAATCATAAGATTAGGTTACAACTTGTGGTACTAACATGTTATATTACAATACTGCATTATACCTTTTACAGCATTATTTCATTTGATACTTAGAACTGCCCTGTTCAGGATAGACATTCGTGTTGTTGACCAGATTTTACAGATAAATGATAACTTGCCAAAGATCATTTGGTTAGTGAGTGGCAGAGCTAGGATTTGAACCTAACTTGTCTGACTGCAAAGTCTGTTTACTTTTCAACTGTCTTTAGTTGCTATAAAAACCCTCAGAAGTCATCTGAGCCAGCCTTTACAATGTCTAGACAAAGAAGCTGATGCCCAGAGTGATGGTGGTATACCTCATTGGTAGAGCCAGTCTCAGATGACATTGTTTGGCTGCTATACAAGTGATAGAAGCAAATCCTACCAGAACCTCAGAGGACTCCCTTTCCTAAACAGGACAGAATGACCACTTCAACTTAGGTCTTAAAAGCAGAGGTTTTGAATTTATTTTTCTAAGAACAGTATGCTTTAATTACCAAAAAAGTTACCAAATTCTCTTCTTAACATCACTTCCAAATAAAACCTAACTATGTCCACTTTAAAAAAGTATAGCTTTCTTACTGGAACTAGTATTGTCTGTCATGGACAAGGCTGGGGTGTGTGTGTGTGTGTGTGTGTGTGTGTGTGTGTGTGTAGATAATTCAGAAAATTGTTTTCTTGGAGAAACAAGAAACATTCTCCTGTCTTTAGGACTTAAATAGTATTGTCTTTAGGACTTAAATAGTATAGCCTGTTGAGGGAAATAACCAAGATTTGCAGTGACAGGAAAAGCAAATTTTTTTTTTTCTTTATTAAAATTTTTTAGTGAGACTAGGATTTGAACTTGGCTTCAGGCTTGCAAAACACGCACTCTTCCACTTGAACCACACCTCCAGTGCATTTTGCTGTGGTTATTTTGGAGATGGGGTCTTGTGAACTATTTGCTTGGGCTGGCCTCAAACCATGAGCCTCCAGCACCTGACTTTATTTCTTTTTTTTTTTTTTTTTTTTTTGGTGGCACAGGGGTTTGCACTCAGGTGCTCTTGCTGACCACTTGAGCCATTTCACCAGCCTCTAATTCTTAAGAAATTTGAAGTGGGCACTGGTGGCTCATGCCTGTAATCCTAACTACTCAAGAAAGAGATTGGGCGGATCACAGTTTGAAGCCAGCCTGGGCAAATAGTTCAAGAGACCCTATCTCCAAAAAAACTCATCTTATAAAAGGGGCTGGTGGAATAGCTCAAGGTATAGGCCCTGAGTTCAAACCCCAGTACTGAAAAAAGAAAAAAGAAAGAAATTTGAAATGAAAAGGATTTGCATTAAACTGCTAGTCAGGGTCTTGTAGTTTAGCATGCAAGATACTATGTCTTAGCCTCAGTTTCCTCATTTGCAAAAGGGAATACATATACCACCAGTCCCATGGTGCTGATGTAAGTGTTGAATAAGATGAGGCATGCAGCCAGGTGTGGTAAACAACACTTATAATCCTAGCTATAAGGGAGGCGGAAATCAGGAAGATCACAGTTCAAGGCCAGCCTAGGCAAAAGTTAGCATGATCCCCATCTCCACAAATGAACTAAGTATGGTAGTTGGTGCCTCCAGCTTTGTAGGAGGTATAGGTAGGAGGACTGTGGTCTGAGACTGCCCTTGCGCAAAAATGTAAGACCATGTTGGAAAAATAACTAAAACACAAAAGGGTTGGAAATGTGACTCAAGTGATAGATCATCTACCTGACAAGCATAAGGCCCTGAGTTCAAACCCCAGTACTACCAGGGGAAAAAAAAGATGATGCATACAAAAGCTGTTTGTAAATAGTAGGTTATACAAATGTAGGTTATTAGTATAATGTAGGTATCATAACATAATCCTAATTTTGTTCACCAGCCACTTATGAGTCAGTACTGTACTATCAGCTACAAGAAATAAAGGAAGTTCAGCGAGATGAAGCTCTCCAACTACCAAAAGACCTAGATTATTTGACTATCAAAGATGTGTCTTTGTCCAGTGAAGTTCGAGAGAAGCTACACTTCAGTCGTCCACAGACGGTAAGAAAGCAGTTAGTAGAATAGGAAGGAATAAGTTACAAATAAAGAGCAGTATTTCGATTTTTCAAAACTTGGGAGTTACAGTGACCACATAGCTAATATTTTATTTAATCATAAAAAACTTAATGGCTGGGTGTGGTGATGCATACCTGTAATTCCAGCTACTTGGGAGGTGGAGGCAGGAGGATTGAGAGTTTGAGGCCAGCCCAGGAAAAGGTAGCAAGACCCTATCTCAAAAACATGAAAACTGAAGGGCTAGGGAATATGGTTCAAGTTGTAGATCACTTGTTTAGCATGCACCAAGCCCTGGGTTCCATCCCCAGTACTGGGAGAAAAAAAAAGGAACTTCATATTTTCTTTATGTTTGACAATTGTTGGTACATCTGTATGAGAGATGATAGAGTTTAGCAGTTATACTGTAGTCACTACCATGTGCTAAACCATCAGTGCAAATTAGTGTATGTCTTAAAAGAAAGCATTGTAGCTGGTCACTGGTGACTCACACCTGTAATCCTAGCTACTCAGGAGACAGAGATCTGGAGGATTGCTGTGTGAAGCCGGCCACAGGCAAATAGTTCAAGAGACCCTATTTTGAAAAAACCCATCACAAAAAAGGGGTGGCAGAGTGGCTCAAGTGGTAGAACGCCTGCCTAGCAAGCATGAGGCCCTGAGCTCAAGCCCAAGTACTGCCAAAGTAAAAAAAAAGACTGTCCTCAGTTCATGTGAGGCTTTTTGTGGTTTTTATACCACTTAGAGTGAATGTTCATACCTTTGTCTGAAACATACACTGCTGACATATTAGTGGGACTAAAATTGTGGGGTACTGCCCCTATCATCACTGGGGATATTATCCCTTAGGTACAATGCTACACTTTGTCACAAAAGTTTATGACCCGTAGTATTTCTTCTTTTTTTTTTTTTTTTCAAATTTAAATTTCAAGACAGAATTTTCTTATGTAGCTCAGACTGGGTTGGAACATGTGATCCTCTTTCCACAAACTCTCAAGTGTTGGGATTACAGGTATGCACCATCACACCTGGCAGGATTTACAGTTGAAGAGAAGAACTCAGTTACAGTTTTTCTTAGTTTAATAGAAAGAAAAAAATACTGTAACATCTGTTTGTTATATGGTCTTCTTTAAAAAATTTGGCAGTACTGGAAATTGAATTTAGAGACTTGTGTTTGCCGGGCAAGTGTTGTACACTTCGGCCATGGCCCAGTCCTCGTTACTGTATTTTGAGACAGGGCCTTATCATGTAGTCCCAACTGGGCTGCTACTAGGATCTTCATGCTTAAGCCTCCTAAGCGCTGAGATTATAGGCATACACCACCATTCCTGGTTCAGTTATGTGATCTTGCACAAGTCATTTTAACTTCTGAGATGAAGATACAAGTAATGATTTCACATTTCCTTTATCTGCTTTACAAAGTTATTTTGAAATCATTACTTGTAATTAATTATAATTATAATTACAGTAGCCCACACGTGTAATCCCAGCACTCAGTAGATGGAGGCAGGAGAAACTCAAGTTCAAGGCCAGACTAGGTTACAAGAAAAAAACAAATAATTTTTAAAAATAGCTCCGTGTACCCTGGTCCCACCAAAAAAAAAATAATAACAACTTAATTAGTTCTATGTGTGGTACATGCCTGTAGTCCCAGCTGCTTGGAAGGCTGTGGTGGGAAGATCACTTCAGCCCAGGAGTATAGGGCCAGTGTAGCTAACATAGCCACACCCCATCTCAAAATCTTAAGTATTTTGTAACCTACACTATAAAATTGCAATGAGGAAAAAAAAAATTGTTATGAGGAGGAGACTTGACACAACTCACCTGTGGTTCTCTTGTGGTTTTTAACTCCTAGATTGGGGCTGCTAGTCGTATACCTGGAGTGACGCCTGCTGCCATCGTCAATCTGCTCCGCTTTGTCAAGACCACTCAGCAAAGGCAGGCGACTGTGAATAAGATGCCCCAAGCTGAGCAGTACTTACTGGACACAGACAGACTTCAGGAGTTGTAGCTTTCAATTCATACAAGACCTTTAAAAAGGGTGCATGAAGAGTATTAGTAGGAGATAAGGACTATTTTAGCATCTATGAAAATAGCTTGATTAAGTTATTATAGTCTCCTAATTAATTTGTGAGAGGACAAAGATTATAATTGGGCTTTTTTGTGTAGCTGAAAAACATAGTTGTAAGTGATTTATACTTTTTTTTCTGGAGCTTTAATACAATGAGCCTATCCTTATGCAGCATTCATCAAAGAAAGATAATAGTGTAGCCAAGGGCTGGCAGAGTGGCTCAAGTGGTACAGTGCTTGCCTAACAAGCATGAGGTCCTGAGTTCGAACCCCAGTAACACCAAAAAAAAAGAAAAAATAGTGTAGAAAAAACTAAACCTGAAGCTGGCAGACCTATAATCCCAGCACTCAGGAGGCTGAAGCAGGAAGATGGTGAGCTCAGTTCCACCCATGGCTACATAGCAAGACTCTGTGTCAAAAAAGATAGAACAAAAAACAAAACACTCTGAACCTGAAAAATAATATTAATTTATATAAGATTTGCCTTACTCATAAGGACTTTGCCCATGGAATATAGCAAATTACAAGCTTATCTTTTAACATATTTTGAAAGATAGGAATTTTTGCCTGGTTATACTAAGTTAGGAAGCAGTATTAAAGAAAGCCCTCAGATTATTACAGCTGAAAATTGAGACTGTGGAATATGATCAAAAATTGTTCAGCTTGAACCAGTTCAGGATATAGTACATATACACATGGAAATGTCATAATAAAACTCTCTGTATAACTAACTTAAACAAAAATTTCTTTTTGTTTTTTCTTCAAAAACAGGACAGGAACGAAAATCAGGTCCTGTCTAGGGACTGGTACCAGTGCAAGAGGGGAGGATATAAGGAAAGGGTGTGGGAGGGTAAATATAGTGGAAATATTATGTACTTATGGATGCAAATGGAAAATCATATGAGATCTGTTGAGACTGTTCAGGAATGGGGGGAGGGGAGGATAAAGGAGAGTGATGGAGGGGTGAATTTATGTTACATTGTAAGAACTTTTGTAAATGTCACAATGTACCCCGAGTACCCCCAGCCTAAATGGTAGAGTGCCTGCTTTGTAATCATAAAGCCCTATATTCAAATCCCAGCCCACCAAAAAGAAAAAAATCATTCAGCTTAATTTTTGGTTTTGGAAGATAATATGTAGGGTGAAAATTGATGTGTAAGGTTTCTGATCTTATTCAGGGAAGCCTATCAGTCATTGGCTTTGACATTAATGGAGAGAATAGAACAATCAGGAACCACCATTGTTCCCACAGTGTACAACTTGTTTGGTAACCGGGTTAAGAGAAAATAAAGGCAGTTATTTTGTGTCATACAATAAAAATATATTCTTATGAAGCTCCTGACCATCATTTAGCGCTGAGGGCAGATCTATACTAACTGGTGAATAGTGTTTCCCATTTTTTAAGTCAGAATTAACAGAAAAAGCAGAATATCCTCCTCTTCCCTCTGTAGTACTTGGATGGTAGGTATGCAGACATAAGGGCTGGATTGGGTTGACCTGCTGGACCTTTCAGCTAGCTACTCAGACACCTTTCTCCTCAGATGCCTTTCTAGGTAGACTAGAAGATGAATACATCCAAATGAACTGGAGGGGGCTGTGGAGTGGCTCAAGTGATAGATCACCAGGCATGCAAGTGTGAGGCCCTGACTTCAAACACCATTACTACCAAAAAAAGAAAAAAAACCTAATTGTTAAACCAAATGAGTCAGAGGACCCTGTTTGTTTGCACCTGGAATACCAACCTGGATTGCTATATTAACCCAGGGAGAGGCTTCTCTGTTAGCCTAGGCTAAAATGAGTTCTAACTTAGGAGAGTTCCAGAGCCTCCAAAGTCACTTTGGGTATGGACCTATCTCTTAAGCCTGGTTATGAATGTGAGGCAATCAATGTCTTATTACAATTGCTATGGTCACTGAATGCAGCTCAGTTTTCATGAGTTGGTTTCATTTAGTTTTAGTCTTTCCATAAAGCTGTAACAAGTAAAAAGACCAATAACAAGTAAAAAAGTATTTGTAATCCCGAGTCATTGAGCAATGATGAATTTTTTCTTTTTTTTTTTGTAGAGAAAGTGATATTACATAAAGCTTATTAGGAAAGAAATACACTTTCAGTAGAGTGAAAATGGGTAACCTCATACTTTCAATTGACAAGAAATTATTTTTTAAACTTCCAAGTAGCTAGTGAGCAGGGAGTGGGGTGCCTATTAAGTGAAATGTAACAAAAATTGGTCTTTTAAGGAAACAAAGCTCCTAAATGCTTTGGGGCCTTTTAACAGCTACAGTTTGAGCCTAGAGACTACACATATAAGGGAACTTTAGGGTTGTAATGCTGCTCCATTACAGTAGTAACTATCACTGAAAAATGTGTACTGGAAAGCACTTGTTTCAGGTTCTTCCATTTTCTTTAGAATATGAAACCCCACTCAGCACTAGAGTGTTTAGCATATGGAATGCCCTGGCTTTGATCCCACAAAAAAGGCAGAGGAGGGGGAAGGGAGGGAGGGAGGGAAGAAGAAAGGAAATACAAAATCTCTTTAAATCCAGTCTTTTTTGGAGTCAGGGTCTCCTTATATTGTCCAGATTGGCTTCAAACTGATGATCCTCCCACCTTAGCCTCCTGAGTGCTAGAATTCCAGGTGTGCCATGCCTGGGTCTCAAATTCTTGTTACTGTATTATTTATTTATTTGGGATGGGTTGAACTTGAATTCAGGACTTCACACTTGCAAAGCTGGTGCTCTAATGCTTGAGCAACACCTCAGTCTATTTTACTGTTATTTTGGAGATGGAGGGTGTCTCTCAAACTATTTGCCTAGGCTGGCCTTGAACTTCGATCCTCCTGATCTCAGCCTCCCAAGTAGCTAGGATTATAGGTGTGAACCACTGGCACCAAATACCTCACACTTGCTAGGCAGGTGCTCTACCACTTGAGCCATCCTGCCAGTTCTGTATTTTTTATTATTCTTGAACAACTTGAGAGTGAAAGTAAGGCAAGCCATATTCATTGCAGGCTGGTTTGAAAACCTTAGCCAACACATCCTGCTCCTCCCAGATGGCAAAGGGGTAGAGAACTCGGTAATGGGGCTACTTCACTGGTCTGAGGTCACATGATAGAGTCTACACCCACAATTTTAAATGCTAACTTACTTAAAATTACATCACTATGGCACAAGCAGTAAAGCACTGCCTAGCCAGCATAAGGCCCTGAGTTCAAACTCCAGTATCACACAATTAGATCACTTAAAAATAATATTTCAAAATAGCCGACTTTCTGTGCTGGGCATTGATGGTTCAGACCTGTAATCCTAGCAACTCAGGAAACAGAGATCAGGAAGATATCAGTTCCGACCTAGCCTGGCAAATAATTGAGGGACCCTATCTTGAAAATACCCAATGCAAAAAAAGGCTGGTGAAATGGTTCAAGTAGCAGAGTGCCTGCTGAGCAAGCGTAAAGCCCTGAGTTTAAACCTCAATACTGCCAAAAAAAAGAAATAGCTTACTTTCTGTACTGTTAATAGATGTGCTAGTAGAAAAAAAAAAAATAGCTAATGCAATTTTGCTCAATCCAGTTACTTCAAAAAAATCCTCATACTGACCACAAGTCAGCCTCCAATGAAAGTTTCCCATGTGTGATTTCCTCTCACCACAGGCCACACTGCCTTGTAGTTGGAAAAACCTGGTACTAAAGTTCATTTCAATAGAAACAGAAAAATTATTTTTAAAAAATGATGAATAAGAAACACTATGCATTAGGCATTGGGGCGGATAAAGATGTGGACCTAGGCTTACTTAAACTGTTACGGCTTTGAATATAAGGTTCTATTATAGGCAAGAACTTGATTTTTGTGAGTAAATATAAAAATCAAATAAAACTTTTATACTGATTGTTTTTTAAAATATTTTGTCATTTTTGAATACACGGAAATTACCATGGCTTTTTCTTTTTTTCTTTTTTCTTTTTTCTTTTGTTGGGACTGGAATTTGAACCTAGGGTTTCCCACTTGCAAAGCAGTTGCTCTACCACTTGAGCCACACCTCCAGTCCATTTTGCTCTGGTTATTTTGGAGATGGGAGTCTCAAGAACCATTTGTCTAGGCTGGCCTTGAACCATGATCCTTTCGATCTCAGCCTCCCAAGCAGCTAGGATTATAAGTGTGAGCCACGAGCACCAACTGACCATGACTTTTCCATTTCAGAAATTTCAACTCCTTGAAGTTGGGAATATCATCAGGAAAGCCACCAACAGAGATTTAAGGGCTCATTCTGAGCTGGCTGAGGTGCTTTTACTAGAATGCACACATGAAAATGAACTGTTCCTCTGGGACCCCCTCTCCCTAATATTGCTATTACTGCACTTATTCCATTCTACCTTAATTTTTTTTCTTTATGGTGCTGGCGCTTTAACCCAGGGCATCATGAATGCTAGACAAACACTTCACACTGAGCTAAGCCCCCAGCCCTGCTATAATTTTTTTTTAATATATAAGCTAATGTTACATGTCCTTAATATATAAGCCTCTTGAGTGCAGGCAATACAGTAGTTGTAGACACTCGTGCTTTTCAAATTTATGAACATTACTAGAAGGAAGAAACAGTAAAACCCATGTTCATAGTAACATTCAAAATAGCAAAAAATAGAAGAAGCAACCCATGTGTCCATCAGTGCATAAATGGATTAACATAAGGTAAAATACTGGCCTTAAAAAGGAAGGAAATGGCCAGGCACTGGCGGCTCACACCTGTAATCCTAGCTATTCAGGAGGCAGAAACACCCAACACAAAAAAGGGCTGGCAGAGTGACTCAAGTGGCAGAGCACCTGCCTAGCGAGTGTGAGGCCCTGAGTTTAAACCCCAGTACCATACAAAAATAACAAATAAAAGAAGGAAATTCAGACAAATGCAACAACATGGACGAACAGTAAGGACTTTATGCTAAGCAAAATAAGCGAGTCATAAAAAAGACAAACTGATTCCAGAGCAGTGAAGTTCATAAACACAGTAAGTGTAACAGTAGTTGCCAGGGTGTTGGGAGCAGGAGAAATCACTGCTTAGTGGATACAGTTTGAGTTTGCAAGAGGAAGAGTTCTGGAGATGGTTGGTGCTGAGAGTTCACAAGTTTGAATGTATTTAATGTCACTGAAGAGTACATTTTAAAATGACTAGTATGGGAGCCAGGCGCCAGTGGCTTGCACCTGTAATCCTGGCTACTCAGAGATTAAGAGGATCATGATTTGAGACCAGCCCGGATGAATAGTTCAAGAGAGCCTTTC